GTTTCTCTCAGTTTTCTTAGTCAAATCGAAAGTACACTTTAGCTGATGGTTGATCTAGTCCAGAATTGTTATATCAAGAGAATTGTTAAGATATTGTTTGGTGCCATTCAATGCTAGAGAGCCTGTTATCAATGTTCTAAAATCTAATTTAGTGGTTGTAAAATAATAAAACAAATATGATGCTCTATGAAATTAAAAGAAAGTGAATGGCTCTTAGCTAATGGAAGTAGAGAAATAAAACTAAAAAAAGAGAGTACTTAATGTCCATAAGATTTCATAAGCTGTAAAATGTTCAAGTCTAAACCAAGTTTGCCCCGTGATGCAAATTCATGAGGAAATGAAACTGGTATCCTAAATAATATTAATAACGATATTGCGGTACAATATACGTAGGAAATATACCACTACCATCACACGGAAACTTTTAGTGGAAATTACCTGGAAAATTGTGTCTGATGTTTCCTTTGAGATGATTATCATTATGAAACAACACAGAAAGTGGAAGTAGGCTTTGCCTCAACGAGGTTAGACAGAAAGTGGAAGTAGGCTTTGCCTCAACGAGGTTAGACAGAAAGTGGAAGTAGGCTTAGCCTCAACGAGGTTAAGAACTTAGGAAAGCATGAAGTTGAAGATGTTTGTATTCAACGTTATAATATAATACAAGTAGATATACGTTATATAATTTAGATTCTCTCGTTGTATATATATATGTATTGTATGGTTCTTTGTTGTTCAGCTACACAATGAGTTATCTGTGCTGTGCCCCCTCATGGGTATCGAAACTCAGTTTTTAGAGTTAAGCCTTCAGACTTACCGCTGAGCTACTGGGAAGTCTATATGTACGACATCTGAGTTTTCTACACTTATTAGAAACAGTCTTCTAAAGAAGTACAGATACTGTGACGTTTATTAGTGGTAGCAATAATACCAATCATAACAAACAGTGGCATAGATACTGTGACGTTTATTAGTGGTAGCAATAATACCAATCATAACAAACAGTGGCATAGATACTGTGACATTTATTAGTGGCAGCAATAATACCATCATAACAAACAGTGGCATAGATACTGTGACATTTATTAGTGGCAGCAATAATACCAATCATAACAAACAGTGGCATAGATACTGTGGCATTTATTAGTGGTAGCAGTAATACCAATCATAACAAACAGTGGCATAGATACTGTGACATTTATTAGTTGCAGCAATAATACCAATCATAACAAACAGTGGCATAGATACTGTGACATTTATTAGTGGTAGCAGTAATACCAATCATAACAAACAGTGGCATAGATTCTGTGACATTTATTAGTGGTAGCAGTAATACGAATCATAACAAACAGTGGCATAGATACTGTGACATTTATTAGTGGTAGCAGTAATACGAATCATAACAAACAGTGGCATAGATACTGTGACATTTATTAGTGGTAGCAGTAATACGAATCATAACAAACAGTGGCATAGATACTGTGACATTTATTAGTGGTAGCAATAATACGAATCATAACAAACAGTGGCATAGATACTGTGACATTTATTAGTGGTAGCAATCATAACAAACAGTACTAAGCCAAGACACAGACATTGTGACATTTAACAAACCCCTACCTTTAGATAAATGTTAACCATTAATAAGTACCAAATACCACAAGTAGTTGCTCAGCCATGTTAAATATATCTCACCATTTATTAATGTAGTTAATAGACAACATCTACCAGGAAATATCATGGAATATACGAACAGCTGCTACTCGTATTCCACCAATTACTGATCATATACCATTAATTTGGTCTATACAGAAATAATTTTCAACCAAAAACCAATACTTACCATTCATATATCAACAGTTGTCAACTATACATCATTAATTATCACATACAGATTTATACCAACCATTAACTGGGAGAAACATACCGTAACTTCTAAGGGATATTCTTGAACTACGTTTCTCTGTCCGAAACGTAATTATCACATTTAATTTTTATGACAGCAAAAAATCTAGATACTAAATAGATAAAAATTCACACCAGATCGGTATCGGAACTGTTACCAAACATATTTTTTCAGCGTATAATAACACATTTCTCTGAGAGAAATAACATGCATCAAAATATCATGCAACATCAAAATAATTAGCGACGCGAAGACTGTACAACTCTTTGTTTGCTTTAATTTCGCGCAAAGCCACAAGTGTGCTGTCTGCGCTAGCCCTAATTTAGCTTTGTTTGTTTGTTTCGAATTTCGCGCAAAGCTACACGAGGGCTATCTGCGCTAACCATCCCTAATTTAACAGTGTAAGACTAGAGGGAAGGCAGCTAGCTAGTCATCACCATCTTTTTCCAACGAATAGAGGGATTGACCGTCACGTTATAACACCCCCACGGCTGAAAGGGCGAGCATGTTTGGTGTGACGGGGACTCGAACCCGCGACCCGCAGATTGCGAATCGAGCTCCTTAACCGCCTCGCCATACCGGACCACCCTAATTTAGAAGTGATAGACTAAAGGGAAGGAAGGTAGTTCACACCATCCACCATCAACTTTTGTGGTATACTTTGCCAACAAAAATTGGTATTGAGCTTCACATTATAACATTCCCGTGGCTAAATGGGGAAGCATGTTCTGTGATGAGGAAGAAGATTAAATCAAAACAGTTAAAAGAAGCATTTTATACGTGAAACATGGTAATAACTTAGTTTATTTACTGTACATTGTTTTGGTTAGGACAGAAAAATAAAAAAAAACTTTACTATAATTTTGATACAACGTAAACAACAATCGTGTTCATATAGCTATTCCAGACTCTACAAAAACAACACAAAAATTAAACAGAATGCTACAGAACAAACAGATATAAATGTATAATATTTTACACTCTATTTCATATTGTAACGTACAGTTAACATATCTATTTTTGTTGTTTAATAAACATACAAAACGTACAGTTAACATATCTATCTTTGTTGTTTAATAAACATACAAAACGTACAGTTAACATATCTATCTTTGTTGTTTAATAAACATACAAAACGTACAGTTAACATATCTATCTTTGTTGTTTAATAAACATACAAAACGTACAGTTAACATATCTATCTTTGTTGTTTAATACACATACAAAACGTACAGTTAACATATCTATCTTTGTTGTTTAATAAACATATAATCGCTTTAGTTCTGTATTCGAATGCTCTTACTTCCGGGCAACATTCTAAATAAACCATGGAATTATTTTTGTTGGCTCTTCACTTGAACAATGTTGTTTTAAAGTAACTTGCCCATTTATAACTTTCCAAAACAAATTTCATAAAAATGTTTTTTGTACAGTCTAGACCTGTTTACTTAAGTAAATCAATGAAAACAAACAAACAACGATTCCACCGTATTTTCATATTACGTGCAATAGAAAGTTTAACACTACAAGTGCGTTTTAAACAATAACTTCGTATTCTTTATAAACAGTGCTCGTGAATAATTGTAACATTTCTGGAATATACAGTTCGAAGAAAAAGTATTCCGTCTTTTCAACTGTGCTATAAATACAAATTTAAGATTAAAATTCACTTTATATCTGTTATTCGCCAATAATATATATATATATACCGTTTATTCACGTGTGCTTTGTCAATACGTTCTAAACTGGGCAAATGTGTTTTAAAATATATATTTTGCTTTTGGTTCGCTCCGTATCAGTTTTTATATTCCACACATATATTACAGTCCCCACATAATCATAGCTCTTAACCTTAAACATGAATAAACTTGTTCGGAACACAACTTACAGATAAGATTCAAATATTAAAGCTACCAAACAAAGAAAAGTTACATTTTTGAAACATTTCAAGCCTAGAAGTTGTTGGAAAAATATTTGCAATTTTCTGTAATCCACTGTCCTTTGTTTGTTTCAGATAATATTGGAATTTTTTTCAAAGCTTTTGTAATTATTTTATTATCATGTCTAATTACCTTGGCATGCCATGGCTGACATACTCTTATCTGTAAATAATAGATCCGGGCATGACCCATTGGTTAGCGTGTCAGGTTGCAAGTCGAAGGGTCAAGGGTTCGAGACGCTCTGGTGAGATATAAGTGTCATAGCTAATCCAGTTATTCGGTTCAAAAAAGCGAGCCCACACCCCAGTGGCACAGCGGGATGTCCGCGGACTTACAACGCTAGAAACCGGGTTTTGATACCCGTGGTGGTTAGAGCACAGATAGCCCATTATGTAGCTTTGTGCTTAACTTCAAACAAACAAATAAAAGAGCCAAGTCCTTGTTACAGCCGATACTGCAGCTCTCCCTTTAGTTAAAAGTGCAAAAATATAGATGGCTCTGTCTGAACTTTGAAATCACTTATGTAGGCATAAGATGTCGTTTCAATTCTCTAAACTAATGTATTCCATTATTAAAGCTTTATAAAAACATTCTAACATATGGTTTATCTTAAATTTCTACTGCTCTGTAGGATACCGGTAGTAGTTAAAAATGTTCAAGAATAAATATATTCCACTTATAATGGAGATAAACTAAAACTTTTAATGTTACTTAAAACGTTCAACAGATAATCATTCGATATAGAAAATTGTATTTGTTTCCAGTGCAAAAACCAATTTCATCAGATAGGTGAAAACTCGTAGGTGTTTTCGAGAGTGATATTTGAATTGTCTGTTTACGTATAAGTTGAATATTCTTTAGGTTGATCTAAGGATGAAGGCCAACTATCTCACAATAACTGTGTATGTACACGTGACACATTTGTATGGCAGTTGCGTTGACGAGTTGCGACAAGTACTGGTATATTTCTTTGTTTTTTTAGTCCCTCAATTGCAGCTGTGCTGCTTGATACAAGGCATGTTTTGATGAGCTGAAGTTGCAATGGTTTCGTTAGAGACCGCTAGGCGGGGATAGGCAGCAGGCGCGCTTAGTTGACCCAGCTAGTTGGTGTTCGAGCCACAGCTGGCATGCTACCGCTAGGAAAACTCTGCCTGAAAGCCAACGCTGTTCTTGAATTAGCTCTACATTTGAAAGAGTAACTTCCTGATACGCTCAGCATAAGTAATATCAGAAAAGGTAAGTTTGAGTTGTTGTTGTTTTCTATATATATTATTCAAAGTTTTAATTTAGATGAGAAAAAACGACCACACTTGACATCTATACAGTTTTACGTTGTGCTAGAAAGACAATTCAGATGATAATGCTTTATATTAAGTACTGTAGATAACAGAGCATTATGTGGGTTTGTCAAAGTACGAGGTTCCGATCTAAACGGCTGAGTAACTGACTAAACAAGGAGTAGAAACTTTTGTAACAACTTGTTGATTCGAACGTTGTTACACAGATCGACCAAGTACGTAATATCAAACACGATGTTGCCCCTAATCTAGTGCGTCTTTACGTTTTAAAAGATTGCCATAAACAGGTGTACGGCGTACAAGGTATGGACTGTTTGTTTTTAAAAAAACCCAACAAAAAACATTATTTTGCAGTGTCAAACTTTTTTATTTATTTGTAATAGCTAAAGTAAGATAATCCTGATGAAGCTCTAATTTAATGATTCAGAATCTCATTAGTAAATATTCAACACACACACTGTGAAGTTATGGTTAACACCAAAAATATTAAATGATTGGATAGGAAAAAAATGGCGTGTTATCAGAAAAGTACTTTGTTAAAATTCTCATAACAAGAAGCGTATGGGACAAAGACATTTAATTGAAACTATTCCAGAGAAGTATCGTTAAAGGAAAATCTACGTGTTCGCATCAATTAAACTAGAGGGGCACTCAGTGGGGCGCGTACCTTCGCCACGCAGCGTTGATCATATTCGGCTCTAACAAAATACGAAAATGTGTTCGTATGTCTGTCGTCGTCTACGGCAGAACAATGAGGAATAATATTCTACATAAGTCCACAAAATCTAATCAAAATCCGATCATTTTTGGCTGAGTTATAGAGGGAAAAATAACGTAAAAAATTGGTCACCATGTTAACATATAGGAATTTTTTTTTCGTGACATTGCTCTGACCTTGACACTCCAAAACTAATCACTTCTAAGTTGAGTCATAGTCCAAATGTATACCAGCTTTTTTCCAAATCCATTCACCCGTTTTGGAGAAATCCTGTTGACAAACACACACATATAGGGGTGAAAACATAACCTCTGTCACCCTTGTAATTGCACATTGTAAGTTTCAATTATCAAACTCGGTGGACAGTTAGTTTCAGTGTGTTTCAACAGGGGACAGTAAACGACGCCGTACACTGAACCCCCTGCAGTTTTATATTTAATTGTTTCAAGACTATATCAAACAGTAATCAGCACTTTTGCCAAACATTTGACACTTTATAACTGTATTACTATTACCGTACGAATAATGTCGGTACAGTATTGATAATCGTTTTTGAAGATCACAACTTTTGTATGAATTTGGACTATTATTATTTGTTTACATTTGTTTGTTTGTTGTTAATCGTAAAGCTACACAATTAGCTATCTATGCTGTGCCCACTACGGGTATCGAAACCTCGATTCTTAGCGTAATAAGCCTTCAGACATATCGCTAAGCCGTCCCTCAATCGAATGGTAAGTCTACGAACTTACAACGCTAAAATATGTGGTTCGATTCCCCTCCAATGTGACTAACTATACCACTGAGCCACTGGGAAGCGTTTTTTTTTGTTTTTTTACTCAGTAACTGAACAGTATAAACACAAACAGTTATGTAATCTACTTAAGTAAATTCTACAACTCAAATGAGCTTACAATCAAAGATTTAAAAACGAAAAACCCGTTATACAACCTCGTGCATTGTTTCATAATTTCTAATGGATATATATTTTGATACACACGTCGTGAAATATACTGATCCACACTTTCCTTGAGAGTTCGTCTGTTGTAACTTTTCAAACTAATAACGTTCGTAAACATATCATCTTTTCATCTGTTGTAACTCTTCAAACTAATAACGTTCGTAAACATATCACCTTTTCGCCTGTTGTAACTCTTCAAACTAATAACGTTCGTAAACATATCACCTTTTCGTCTCTTGTAACTCTTCAAACTAATAACGTTCGTAAACATATCACCTTTTCGTCTGTTGTTACTCTTCAAACTAATAACGTTCGTAAACATATCACCTTTTCGCCTGTTGTAACTCTTCAAACTAATAACGTTCGTAAACATATCACCTTTTCGCCTGTTGTAACTCTTCAAACTAATAACGTTCGTAAACATATCACCTTTTCGTCTCTTGTAACTCTTCAAACTAATAACGTTCGTAAACATATCACCTTTTCGCCTGTTGTAACTCTTCAAACTAATAAAGTTCGTAAACATATCACCTTTTCGTCTGTTGTTACTCTTCAAACTAATAAAGTTCGTAAACATATCACCTTTTCGTCTCTTGTAACTCTTCAAACTAATAACGTTCGTAAACATATCACCTTTTCGTCTCTTGTAACTCTTCAAACTAATAACGTTCGTAAACATATCACCTTTTCGTCTCTTGTAACTCTTCAAACTAATAACGTTCGTAAACATATCACCTTTTCGTCTGTTGTTACTCTTCAAACATATCACCTTTTCAGAATTTTGCTTGGAGTCAAAGCAACTCGAGTCTGAATTTCTCTCCCTGATGATGATGATGATGGTAACCTTTTCAGATCTATTGTTAAATAATGAACAGACGATGAATTATAGGAGGAATAATATCCTGGACCCTGAGCTCCTTGTGTCGAACGAGTTACATCTGCATGAACAGTATAAACGTAGGTTTTCCAGCTGTACAACACTTGTTTTTGTACGAACTTGGTGTGTAGAGTTTGATTATTTTCGCGTTTCACTTCAATTTATCATAAGGAAGCTGCGCGTGTCTTTTCGGTTATGTCAGTTGCACAGTATATCATTAAATATAGTAAGTTTGTCTGATAAACGCACTTGGTTTGAAACAAATTGTGATGGTTACGAATGGAGGTTAAAAATATCGTAAACCTAACTTTTTTTACGCAGACTTCTTCGTCATTGGAAGTTTGGGAGGTATTTATATATAACGTATGTTGCTTACAAATATTGGCTCCAAGGCTCAGGCCCTCTAACCCGTTTAATTACAAGTATTACGAATTCCAAGATTTTGGAATACTGACCAGAGGGTAAAGCAGACGGTAGGTAGCATCCTGCAAGCTTCACGAAGGAATTGACTGTCACTCATGCGTACGCATAGCTTAAAGTATGGTAAACATTTTAAGGTATCGCACAAATTCTCATTTGGATCGTCAACTTCGAACTCCAGAACTCTACTACAGAATCCACCCCTTCGTAAAGAGTTGGAGTTGGTGTATACATCAAACAGAGAACATGTTTGGTTTAATTTTCTTATTGAAGAGTTTTGAATTAATTTTTTCATTAATATTACGTTTATAAAATGACTTTATTCAACAGCTATATTTTTCCCTATTTTATATTCCTCTTACTTTTTTGTTTAATGTTTTTTATAAACGTTCTTAAAGTCTAAATCTAAAAGGTGGCGCCGCCTTGTGATCATAATGTAATCTACTAGAGGGTAAAATTTAAATTGGATTCTTGTATAAAATCTTTAGGCAGCACTGTCAAATAACAAAAACAACAACAAAACCTAAGTGATTTTAAAATATGCCATCAGTGTGTATATCGTGATCATCGATTCAAAATGATCAGGGTTAGCTATGTAAAATGGCCAAAAGCTGAATCAGTTTGTTTGAACTACACTGTTAACCACGTAAGACAACAATTAAAAAATAAATTAAGAACACCAATTGACAATATTCATGACTTTTTTTTTTCGTTATACTTGTTACGTGACTTGCAATTTGATTACGTTTTGTATAATATTAATAATGTGCTGATCACAACACATTTATCTCTTCATTTGTTACATTCGTATCATGTATCATACACTTTACGTGATGTTTCAGTACTTATCTCTTCATTTGTTACATTCCTATCATGTGGCATACACTTCACGTGATGTTTCAGTACTTATCTTTTCATTGGTTACATTCCTATCATGTGGCATACACTTTACGTGATGTTGCAGTACTTATCTTTTCATTTGTTACATTCCTGTCGTGTGGCATACACTTTAAGTGATGTTGCAGCATTTATATCTTCATTTGTTACATTCTTATCATGTGGCATACACATTACGTGATGTTGCAGTATTTATCTCTTCATTTGTTACATTCCTATCATGTATCATACACTTTACGTGATGTTTCAGTACTTATCTCTTCATTTGTTACATTCCTATCATGTGGCATACACTTCACGTGATGTTGCAGTATTTATCTTTTCATTTGTTACATTCCTATCATGTATCATACACTTTACGTGATGTTTCAGTACTTATCTCTTCATTTGTTACATTCCTATCATGTGGCATACACTTCACGTGATGTTGCAGTATTTATCTTTTCATTTGTTACATTCCTATCATGTGGCATACACTTCACGTGATGTTGCAGTATTTATCTCTTCATTTGTTACATTCCTATCATGTAGCATACACTTTACGTTATGTTGCAGTATTTATCTCTTCATTTGTTACATTCCTATCATGTAGCATACACTTTACGTTATGTTGCATTACTTATCTTTTCATTGGTTACATTCCTGTCGTGTGGCATACACTTTACGTGATGTTGCAACATTTATATCTTCATTTGTTACATTCCTATCATGTGGCATACACATTACGTGATGTTACAGTATTTATCTCTTCATTTTTTACATTCCTGTCCTGTGGCATACACTTTACGTGATGTTGCAGTATTTATATCTTCATTTGTTACATTCCTATCATGTGGCATACACTTTACGTGATGTTGCAGTATTTATATCTTCATTTGTTACATTCCTATCATGTGGCATACACTTTACGTGATGTACTTTGTAACCTAAGATAATTGTTTTACTACATTGTTATCTTATGAAATATGTACACTAATTTCACTGGTTCAGGATGCTAATATATTTATATGTTAGTCATCACACACACACACATATCCGAGTTATAATTCCGTAGACATTATTCAC